CTTAATTTTGGGCATCAGGTATTTTGTCGCAGCAATGAGAGAAAAGTAACCAAGACAGATAGATGTCTGGAAAATGAAGGTGTATGCAGAGACTTCATTAACAAAATCCAGACTGCATGGGAAATACTACAAAGAATCAACAAATAGGATTTTACTTCATTAAAAAGCATCTGCACAACAAAAGACCTCACCAATAGAGTGAAAAGATAGCCCATAGAGTGGACAAAATTATGGCCAGTTGTCCCTTAGGAAAGGACTTTTATTTAAAATGTATGAAGAATTGAAAAAAATCAGGCCCTCAAACTTCAAAGACCTAATCCAAAAATGGGCTTCTGAGATGAATACACACTTTTCAGATGAAGAAATACAATAAATATATTGTATTTTCACAATAATTCACAAAATATATTTTCAGATGAAGAAATATATATATAGTATATCCATGCAATATTTAAACTTGTGTTTGACTTATTTTACTTAACATTATGTTCTCAAATTATATCCATTTGCCTAGGAGTGCCTCAAGTATATATTTTTTCATGGCACAGTAGCACTAATTTGCTTCATTTATACTACTTGTTTAGTTTATTGAGAAGAAAGTTTTGTACTATTATCTGTTTCTTTTTCATAAGAGACAGTTTTGTCTATGGCTGTACTCTGAGTATCTGTAGCTATTCTTTTAAGATTATGGTACAGTTTATCCACTATAGCTATTCTTTTTATATGTTGTTGAGAAATTTTGCTATATTTTCTCAGAGAAGTAAGAAGAGTACTTTCTTATCTTCACTTTATTAATATCACCTTGTATAACTTTAAAATGAATAGTTATTTGATATCAATCACAATCATAATAATACTAAACTAGGTTTTTATAAGAAAAACAAGACTGCCACTCTGGTCTCTGGCTTGCTGTCTCACCAAGCAACTGCTCTCATGTGCACTCCCAGAGTTGTGATGTCGTCCACCACAAGGTGTTCACCAGTGCTGAGAGAAGCTGGCACCACACTTTTGGACTTCCAGAGCTGTGACTGTCTGTATCTTTTTTTCTTGTAAAGTACCTAGTATAAAGTATTTTGTTATAGAAAAAGAAAACAGGCTAATACAATAAGGAAGGTGACAGCTAGGGTGATAGCTGAGGAGAGAAAAGGTCAAGGGAAGTTGCTCTTTCCTTGGCTAAGAAAAGCATATACGTTCATAGAAGGAAAATGTTAGTTGAGCTTCACCAAAAAGAAAAAATAAATGTCAGCAGTAATAAATATGCTAGTTATTGTAATTTGAGCCTTACACAATAAAAGACATATCAAAACATCACACTGTATCCTATAAATATTTACAGTCATCATATGTCAATTAAACATAAAATAAAATTTTATGTCAAAATTTTTTTTGTTTTTTTTTGTTTGTTTTATCTTTTTGAGGCAGGGTTTCACTATGCAGTTCGGGTTGGCCTTGAGCACACTTTGTAGTCCAGGCTGATCTCGTATTCACAATGAGCCTCTTGTCTCAGCCTCCTCAGTGCTGGGATTACATGTGTACCCCACCATACCTGATGTGAAGTTATTTTTTTTTTTTTGTATCAGGAATTGAATGTATAACCTCACACTTGCCAAGCAGGCCCTGTGCTGCTGAACTGTATCTCCAGCTTTAAAATAAAACTTTAAAAAAGGATAGGAAAATATTTGAGATGAGAGATATAACTTAAAGAGTCAAATTTCAAAAGACAAAGGCCAATATATCAGAACACAGCTAGTGACTTTCTATTTGAAAAGGTAAAACAATGGTTCTCCTTGCAGTAATAAATTATCACAAGAAGGAGACACCAAAATGTAAGTTTGTGAAAGAGAAAAGAGAGGGTCCAAGATATCACTTAGATGCTTAATCTCAGTGAATAAGATGAGTCTACACAGGGTGGCCACTCATCTCAGCTAACTGAACACTTTTCTAGTTTAGCACTAATGCCCTAAATCCAGGGGGTTTCTCAGTTAACTGCAAACAGGAACAACTGGCAATCATAACTGTGAGGGAAAAGAGAAAAACAAAAAAGGGGAAAAAATTTTATATATATACACACACACAGGATAGCTGAGAGAGTCATACTACTGACTTCCATTGCTTTATTGAAAGGAATAGTTAATGTTTAATTGTTTGATCAATCTTGCATGCCACCTATATTTGTTTAACTGAGTAACCAGTTTGAAGATAACAATATGTAATACACTAGCCATGGTTAATTTCCTATCACCTTGTCTGAAATTCTATAATGCTTCTATTCTTTGGGTGTTGTTTTGTTTATGTCTGTTTGTTTGTTAATGTGTTTTCATTCTTTATCCTTGAAAATGAAAAAGAACCCCAGGTAACACTTTTATTGTCGTATCAGAAAGATTTATTGAATAGTATTTCATTTCCACCAGTATATATTAGATCAAATGTGTACAATAAAAATTCAGCTGTCACAGTAAAACAAAAAATTGTATATCAACTTAGTTTTGCTAATATGTGCTTGGGTAGCCTAATGCATTAATGACATAGATTTAGAATAATTTTCATAGGGAAATCTGACAGGAATTAATCAGAAATGGATACATAAATTGCTGGTAAACATTGATATGCATCTTATTAGATAATAAGAGTTTAGAATGTTTATAATAGAGTCCGTGGCAGGCACACCCAAGACATGCCAGGAGCCATAGTTCTCCTGCGGGGCGCTGGGCAACTCAGGACCTTTCTTGGGGTTCCTGGCCCTGCTACAATGGCCAGTGTGGGGTTGCGGAGCTCGCAACCACTTCTCAAGGGCCGTGGAGGGAGACAGTGCCTTTCCATGAGTCTATGACCTTCAGGGATGTGGCTGTGCTCTTCAGCCAGGATGAGTGGCTGCAGCTGGACCCTGGTCAGAGCAGCTTGGACAAAGAGGTCATGATAGAGAACTACAGCAACCTGGTTTCCCTGGGAATTCTAGTTTCAACACCTACAGTGATTTGCCAGTTGCAGCAAGGAGAAGATCCCTGCTCAGAGGAAAGAGAAATGACTCAAGAAACGTGTCTCGATTTCAAGACTTGGCCTGACATAGAAGTAGTGCCTGTCAGAAAGGACATTTTTATTGAAGAAACATCTCATGGAATCATAAAGAAAAAATTCTCTAAGTATGGTCCTTGGGACATCAACTTTGGAAACTGTGGATTCTAAGGGAAGGATACTGCAGGAGAAACAAAAGAAACCCCTTATGCAGATGGCTGCCTCACCCAAGAAAACTGTCAGTGAGGATGGAAACCCCACAAGTCTAGAATTGGGAAGGGCTCATTTATAAACACAGTTCTTATTTCACAACAGTGTGTTCCCATGGAAATGGTACCAAATATGTATTACACTTTCAGGGAAGATTTTACACAGAAGTTTGACCTAATGAGATGCTTCCAGATTTACCCAGGAGGAAATCCTCTTGTCTGTCATGAGTGTGGGAAGAGCTTCAGCCAGGGTATTCATCTTCTGGAAACCAGAGAATCCATACTGGTGTGAAGACCTTCAGCCACCAGTCATCCCTTCTCACACATCAGAGAATCCACACTGGGGAGAAGCCATAAGAGTGTAATGAGTGTGCAAAAGCATTCAGTAGCAGTTCCACCCTCATCAAACATCTGAGAGTTCACGTGGGAGAGAAGCCCTACCACTGCAGGGAGTGTGGGAAAGCCTTTAGCCAGTGTTCCACGCTCACTGCACACCAGAGGAGTCACACTGGAGAGATGCTCTACAAATGTGCTGAGTATGAGAAGACCTTCAACTGTAAAGAAAGCTTCACAGGTATCAAAGAATCCACACAGGTGAGAAATCTTATAAATGTAGAAAGTGTGGGAAATGTTACAGCCAGTTTCCATCCCTCATGGAATACCAGATACTCCATACTAGAGAACAGTTGTGCCAGTATTTGGAGTGTGAGAAAACCTTCACATGCATCTCCACATTTATTGAACACCAGCAAATCCATACCTGACAGAAACCCTGCCCATGTAATGAATGAGGGAAAACCTTCAGCCAGTATTCATCATTTAATGAGCATCAGAAAATCCATACTGGGGAAAAGCTTTACACATGTCAAGAATATAGTAAACCCTTTGGCTACAAATCCAACCTTTATAGGCATCAGAGAATCCACACTGGAGAGAAACCCTAGAATCCACACTGGAGAGAAACCCTATCTATCAGTGTAACCAATGTGGAAAGGCATTCAGCCAGTATTCATTCCTAACTGAGCATGAGAGAATCCATACTGGAGAGAAACTCTATAAGTGTATGGAATGTGGGAAAGCCTATAGTTGCAGATCAAGCCTTTGTAGACAGAAAAAAGTCCACAATAAAGAGAGACTCTACAAATGGAAGGAATATGGGAAACAGTTCATCTATGGCTCCTCTTTTACTCAGTATCAGAAATTTCTGAGAAGAGATAAACCTATGAGCTTTAATTTATCTCTCTAATAATCCAAGTGTGACTCTTCTTGTGCAGAGTGAGCGTGGAACACTTCTCACTAGACAGTGATTAGTAAAATAATAAATAGAGCAAAAATTCCTAATAGATTTAATCTTTTTTACTTCTACAGGAAAAAAGTTAGTTAGTATTAAGATAAGTTTATCAGTAAAAATATGAAGAGCACTTATGTCAGATTTTATAAGCACTATTACATTCTAAAAACAGTTTTAAATCAATAGAAAAAGCATGAAAGGCCTCACTTTGTAGAAACGTGTAAATAGTTGGATGTGTTTTACTTCAGACTCTAATCTCTAAGAGCAAGGTTCAATATGTGAATTTTCTTCTATAAGTAGTCACTGAATTAATAATGTAAATAAATGTGGGGCCTTATTTCCTAAATTGGCAGGCTGACTTAGGAAATGCTTTTTCACATAGAGATGATAAAGATACAAAAGAGTTCTTTAAATTTAACTATTTATATCAAAATAATAAAGCTGTGTGATAAGTGCCCTGTAATAATATCTACACACACATACCTATACACATATACAGTCATGTGTCACTCAGAGATGCTTCTTGAAAAGGTGACATTGGGCACTTTGAGCATTGTGCAAACGTGCTCAAACGTGCACTTGGATGGTCTGCGTCATCACTACACGTGGCCTCTTGATGCCACCAAGAGGTGTGGCAAGCACAGAATGTAGGGCTGCTGCCCGTGAAATGCAGCAGTGTTTTGTTGTAAGCTTTATTTGGTATGTAGAAGACGTGCTCTACCATAATCATAAAAATGTAGTATAGTAAATACACCAGTAACAGTTTTTTATCATCATTCTCAAGTATTGTGTGCTGTGCTTTTACCTGATTGGCATCACAGTAGATCTGTT